TTTTGATATGCAGTCATCCTCACAAAGAGTTTTATTCAATGGAAATGTCCTATAATTTATTAATTCCCATAAATGATTAGTCTATTAATACTCAAATCATTGGAGTGGGTAAAATAAGGTTAATTGAAATTTCAAGAGAAATGCTATACGTAAGATTAGCCCAACTTAAAGATTTCAAAGGGCAAACATACACACTTTTAAGGGAAGTCATTCTTCAAAATCGTATCACTTTGATTTTTTTTAATATTCCCAACAACAACATAATTTAATCTATATTGGATTTCGAGTCCTAATATGAATTTATAATTAGGATTTAGAAATGCAAGTGAGAAAAATGATTTGTGTGAGTTTTTTTTGCATGGAATATCAATGTTTCAGGAAGCATTACTCTTGATTTTTTTCTTTACAAAAGTTTCATTTTTAAGAAACTACTAGGGCAAGATTCGTATTGAAACCGTACCACGTTCTTTATCCAATTTTCAAGTGCACAAACGACACTCATCATATCTCAAGAAATGCTGTACGTGTGTAGTGATTACACATTAATTGGGCCCACTATTCACTTTATATTGTAGACTTCGATTTGTAAATGCTATCGTTTCATATTTCTGTATATCACAATGAAAGTGCATTTAAGTACGATCCGAATTTATACCAAATAAACTTTTGAATGATAGATGTTGATATATTTGTCTTGATTTCTTAACCAAATCTGAAGAAACAAATCTTATTTTATGAAAATAAATTGGCCGTTAAATTTTCATATCAACATGTAATAACAACCTTTTTTTATGGAACAAAGTTTAAGAAATTGTTTTTTAAAACTTATCCTTAACAGTGTTTGACCATAAATACACATTTTACACATATTAAGTTTATTAAATGTAAGATTTGGTATTGTTTGGAAGTCCTTCTCTCTGATTTCTTGAAACATTTTATTTAAAGGTACATTTAATAATAAAGTTTGAAATACTTAATGGTAGTAGTCAAAATCTGACCTTTCAGGTGTATGATCAGAATCGTTACAAAAGCTAAAAAGATCACTGCCAGTAATACTCTAATCACGATCGAAATAATCGTACCCTTTCTACTTCTAGTTTTATTATCCACCTCTCCTACGATGGAAAATATTTTAAGATATATACAAAGGGGTATCAGAAAGTTTGTGGACTATCGCCATGAAATTAAAAACGCTTTAGGTACATCAACGCAGTACAGTTAAGGCTACACATGAAAAAATAAATATGGTAATGAGGTCATAATGAGGTTTGACGTCATTACAGTTGCTCCACTCTAATTAATCCTTATAAGGAAATAGAGTTAAAATAACTATTTACCGATATTTGCAAAAATTTGTATGAAATGGCTATATTTTCATGTTTAATAAATAATTATTAGTGATTTTCTTTTATACAGAATAGCATTTTTTAAAAATAATTCTCTTTTTATGTGCCGTTTGGCTGCATTCGGCTTCATCCAAGCGCTTACATTCGATGACATGGAATGTTGTTTACATCTACAAACGTGGCGACATCAGCTGAGATATACAGTAGATTTAAATGTAATAACCAGGAAATCTTTAAATAGGGATAAGATAAGAGAGATAAGAGACAAAGCATTGTTTATCCCTTTTACGTGAATATGAGGACATTATTTCGGAAAATAATGGAAAACTGAGACAATCACCATCAGCTCACTAGATCCATCACTGCAGTACATTTAGCCCAGGTATGTATGCGCATGTATGTACAATATCTAGATATTCTATTGTTAACATCAAAGAAAAAACCGATCGCGAGTGTGTACATGTTCATTTGATGTATAATCACAGTCAATGAAAAACTAATGCAGTGCATTGTGATTGTGCATATGCCCCCCCCCCCCCCCCCCCCCCCCCCCATCCAAACATCCCCATACAAAGTTGCACACTTTTTATTAGAATTTAAAAAAATGTAATTGTACTAAATATATGGTACGGAGTTCTTGTCAATTCGCTTATTTTCTTTGAGACAATTTGTTTAGCAAGGGAGGTCAACAGTAATACATATTTAAACTTAATTTTAAATTTGAAATTTCATTGTTTCAGTCAATGAGTTGACAATGAATTACTAAACATGTAATGTTGCTGTCTTTTTGGCATAAAAACATGCTACATAATATAAAACAAATATCTGTATCATTATGTTGTAAACACACAACCTCTTCTTTAGATCTATGGTTGTAAATTCATAGAATTTCTAAATTAATGGGGAATAAAATATTCAATTTGCTTAGTTTGATTACATATAAAGTCAATTAAATTCTGTAATTTATACATAATTATTTTTTTAATTGTATAATACTTTTATTATTGTAGCTGTCAGGAGTTCCAGACTTGAAGAATGAATAAGTACAAAATGCATCAATTTCTACACAGGATATGCATACTTCTAAAACATTTCACATTTTTTAAAGCATTTATGTGTTATTATATTTATTTTTCATTTTGGTAAAGATGAAAGATTGTTTTTTCATATTCTAATTACTTGTTCTTGTAAATGTAAGAGGTTTCAATTTCCCAGAAAAGTTTTGTAACACAACTTTGTTTCCATTTATCTTTAAAATAAATTTCATTGCATTGTAGGATATCCGAGAGAAGCAGAGACAGGATTATGATGGTTTGTTTATTAATGTGGTTTGAGGTTTACATGTAAAATGAGTGTTATAGGATATCTTTTATTATTATATGACTTTTTTTGGTATTTTTTCAAAGGAAATAAAAAAGAGATATTTATATCCAAATAAATTGTTTTCGAGTTAAAAGTTTGCTGTGAATGAATGCATCATATAAATATTTATGAAAATGTAAATAAAGGATGGTTAGACATTTTAATTTTTTTCAATAAAAATAATCTATGAAGACAAAACACATTATTTGTGGATATTTTTTAAACATATGATTAAAAACACCACAAAACTAGTCACAATTGAGGACAACATGTTTGTCAATCATATTTTTTTAAAAATTTAAACGAAATTATGAAATTTTAGAGAAAATAATTTTTTGAATATTTTGACCTAACCCGATCAAAATTAAACTGATCCTGATCAAAATTTACACAAAATGCTAATTCATTGCCTCTTTACGTATTTAAATAAAGAAATATATTTTGTTGTCAGGTTCGAATTCAATAATTTTTATCCCTTATTACACCTAATCAGACTAGTGCTCTTGGAGAATGTTTACTTATTTATTTCCAATATTTTTACAATTTTGGTTGGGATCGTTTTAATTGTTATCGGGATTGGCAAAAAAATTGTCTAAAAGGCTTTTTCGTTTCAATTTCTGTTATAAATATGATCATCGAACAAGTTCTCCCAAGTTGTGACTGGTTTTAAGAAAGTTTTAACCACGACTTTATAAAAATATTTACAAATTATGTGTTTTATTTTCATTATTTTTCATTTAAAAATTTTCAATATCGATATCAAGCTTTTCTTTACATACATGTATTTTATTGGATATTCATGTGATGCATTCATTTACAGCAAAATGTTTACAAGAGGGCATCTAATTTGGATGTAAATAATTTTTTTTCATTTTCTTTGAAAAAATACAAAAAAATAAGATAATTAAAAGCTAATGTTGACCTTTCAATGCTGAAACCATTGTTTAAAAAGGTTGACCCAGAGATCTATAAAATAAAAAAATTGGTCTGGCATTCCTCCTAAAAAAATTGTTCTCGGAATTTTTAATAATATTTTTAATAATAAAATAGTTTTTACTGAGAAAATTCTTATCAAAAACTTTAGGTTTTCTTTCTTTTTTTTTTTTTTTTTAACAGATATTTCTTATATCATTCTTGATATTAAATTCACAAATTTAATATGAAGTTCACATATCTAATGCAATTAGGCATTCTGGACTCCTTGTTCTCCAATCTCCTTTGTCCAGAAGACATGCATACAGATAAAAAAAAAATCCTAAAATTCGTCTTTATAGTGTTTTAAACAAATGTGCAAGTGTTTGTCTGATTTATAAAAATTAAAACTACTCTTATTGATAGCTTTTTCTTAAAAAAAATAAATGACGCATCTATTCAAAGCAAATTCTGTGCTCATAATCAAGTACATTAATTGCAACCAATATCATCTGCATCCCCCCTTCGGACTATTGAATTACAACTTGATAGTCTCTCATGTACAATAATTGAAACTCGATTTCTACGGTGCATTTGATTTATCATTCTCTTAAAGATTTATGAATTATGTTTTTTTTTACGTTTAGGCTAAAAATTTATGATAAAATATAGTGGAATGAATTCCCTGATTTGGAGATATTTCCCTATGTTTTACTATTTTGAACATCAATGTTTTTACTAGGATTTAACTGTAAAGTCTTAATATCATATCCTAAATTATCTCCTTGAAGCAATCTTTTGAAATAAGAAACTTGTTTCTCATTCTTCGGTTCTGTTTCACATCAGGCAGATAAGAGTTCATTCAATACAAAAAGAAAATAAACTACCAGGAAGTAAATAAACAATTCAACCTCTGAAATATAGCTTTCTTAGGTTATTCTTGACACATTAAAGCATTTAAAATAGATCACAGATTAAACACATTACATATTTTCTTTCATCAGAAAAGCTTATAATCAATGATATGATTAAAGGTTTTTTTTGTCAACAAAAAACATATAAAATGAAAATACTGTACAGACTAAAATACTACATGTAGTATTTCTCGTCTCATGGTGGAAATTTTTCAAATGAAATTGTTTGAATTACATTTGCGCAAGGAAACACACCGCGTTGCCCATGTCAAAAAAAATCCCTGTCTCTGAGATTTTATTTAGTTCTTCAGAAAAATGAAAATAAGCATGCAACTTTTACACAGTTTTTAATGTAAAATCACCAAAATCGAAATACATGCATACTTTTTAATACATTTTCATGAAATTGTCCAAAAGAAAATAATTTGCAATTTTTGATGAAATCGTGTGCTAAGACACCTCCAATATTCCCCCCGTCTTATTTGAGCCCAGTGTGTATTCAAGGTGACTTATTTATTACACAAGTTTAAAATGACATTGCACTTTTTATATCTGTCTCCGTTATTCTGTGTATGGAATTTATTAGCGATGTCCTTAGTCTCGTCTCACCATCATCAACGTTCCTCTCACCTCAGTCCCATACGCGATTGGGGGATCCCAAGGCTGCTCCCAAATTTCTGAGTCCCACGGTCCGTTCAGGCATGCGTCGTGGCAGTGATTGTACCACCAGCCGCTTCCTCCGTGTCTAAATACGCAGTGTCCCGGATGTCTGTCGTTGTCTCTATCCCATGTAGTAAAATACATGCCATTAAGATTGTTTATTTTGTCATTAGGAAGTAGCATTCTATCACCTACAGATTAAAAAAAATCAATCTCTTAATTTTGGGGATTTAAAAAAAAACAACGGTCGAACGTCAATAAAATGGACTTCATCCTGCAACATTTTTTTTTAAAAAGTACACACCAATTTCAGCTATCAACATTGGTCTTGAGTTACAGTTTAATCAAAAAAGAATAATGTTACTTTAGAAATATCTATGTTCGATAAGTTATTATTGTTTTTTTTCAAATTTCATTTTAAAAAAAATCCATATTTAAAAAAGTCAAAACAGTTTGTTTATTCAAGTATATATTTTTTTGTTATTCAGGTTCAATCAAGGATGTAGCAAAATTTCTGTGTGGTTCAATACACCGTGACTTCACATATTATTTGTTATTTGCAATTCATGAACAAGTAAACATGCATCATTATTAACTCAGCACCACCCGCTGTGTATATGGAAATATTTACATATATATATATGTACTTTATTTCCCCATCAATGTTTTGGAGCAGTTCCAAAATAACCCACGTGCAAGGCGGGACAAACAGCTAGATAAAAGCAGAGCTTGGAGCACGTGGATTGGCGGAATCAAAGCGTTCATGCTAATTATCACGCAAGCCAAACGATTGATCACTTCATGAAATCTAAAAATAAGACAGTTATTCCTTAAATGTGCACACGGTATGCCAACCAATCAAAAGGAGAGTTATACTTTATGTTATGAAAATATAAATGAATGCCTTCCCATTCCGTGTATTACTTCCCATTTCCCTGTCAGTTGTTTGTGGTGTACATGTTACCAGTCACATACCCAGTGTTCCAGAGGCCGGTCCACCCAGAAAGAGTCGATATTTCTCTGCTTCATCAGATACAGAGAACCTATCATACAACTCGTACAGCGTTGAACCATTTACCAGAGTCATGGAAACGTAGAGGGAAGAGTCGTTTCCCTTTGTCAATTGTTGAATTGGGTCATTTCCTGTTCAAAGATATATTCAGAATTCAATAAAATAATAGAGAATTACAATACACTGTTTGTTGTTTTATACATATATATATACCATTTTATTCCTCCAATTTTTCATCATATGTACACATCAGCTGAACTATGGGAATATAGTTATGTCTGTTCTTCCTTTTTTTTCGACTAGAGTATGTTTTAAGGACACACCAAAGATTTGAGCAGCAAGGAATCGCCTGGCGAGACACGGGGCCTAGATTTTTAAGATTTTATCTGAAGGATCCGCATCTTCCATTTCATAGTGCCGAGTGCATGGCGAAGGAATAGTTGCTACCCATTTTTTTTTTTTATCGATTTAGGTTAGTCGCAGCTGGGATTCGAACTCATAACCTTCTGATCACGGATGGAGCGCTCTACCGACATTTGAAAGTCTGATTTCCAGTTTATTATCTCTGTGATGAGTAAGTTGAGGAAAAAGAACTGACTTAGGAAAAAAAAAATCCCGAACCAAAAAAAAATCTTGCAACGGGCCATTAAACATATACCCTCGGGAATTTCGGAGGTGTTACAAAGTACCAAGGATGAGTCATCATCCCATAAGCTTTCATCCGTTCACATCGGCCTTGAACCACATTTATTGATCAGATTCTTGGAGAACGGTTTATTCCCACCTAGCCGAAATTCTGAAATTCTTATACCCATCTAGACAAAATTTTGAGTGGTCACCTGTGTATGGTCTGTTTTAGACTTATTACCGGTTACATATTTAACTTTACTTGAATAAAAAGAATAAAAAAACTTTCCTGCAATAGGTAAAATTTAACTTTTCCCTACAAATATAAAATCTAGAAGAGAATTAATGTTCGAATTTGAAGTCTCTCAACTTACCGATCCAGTAATCTTCCTCAGGGTTACCGAATGGATTCTTAAACTCATCCCATGACCTATTAAAGTCCACGGATCCAATAACACGTTTTTGGATTGCCTGTATCATTTATAATTATATATTACATGTAGGTATCATTATTAATGTCGGCTTTATAATCACATAATCAAGATTATTGTAATCATTACACTGGCTTGAATAAATGTTTCGTTATCTCCATATCCTTCTTCATGTATAATTTTTTCTCATTAATCATTTGAACCACACAAACAGATTATAACTAACTCATAACGTCGTGTTTTAAATAACAATTTGTAAAGTAAATGCAATTTTTATCAATGAAACGGATGCTTATTCAGAGTTTCATGACACATTGCCTAGTACTTATTCCCCAGAACGACTTTCGAGGAAAATTGTATAACAAAAGTTGATATTCAAACGATTTTTAGATTATACATATTTTGAGAAATTATTCTCTATTAGTACTTCCTTCAAATGAAAAAAAAGGCTGTTTCACCAAAACATATAATTGCATCATTATAAAGGAGGCAGCAAATGTTTGTACTGAGGTATTACAATTATAGAAACAAATTTTTCTTTATAACGCAAAAGTATAGAATAGTTCCATTAGAGATTAACATATAACATTGGATGTCTTGGAGGAGTAAGCATCCCCTATATATCACGTGATAACTTTATAAATAAAAGAGAATACCGTCCACCCACCGCCCTGCGTCTCCATGTCGCAGAACGCCCTAACCGGAAGTAAGGAATCCCTTTCTGGATAAATTTTGTACACTCCAGATTTGTATGGACCATTTTCCCAAATATCTTTACAATCCATTGGTAATTTATCTAAAATAGAACAAGCTTAAGGAATAAAAAGAAGAGATTGCTGTTATATAATAAAAATGTGTTTAATCTCCAAAGATCGTCAAAAGTAGAAAAAAAAATTGTATAGCATTTTTTTATAACAGAGATTAAACCCTAAATTTTATTGATATCCTGCGATGCAAATTTATTTGAAATTCTCAATCTTTCAATCTGTAAATATATTTTTTTTTAACATAAATATCTTTTTTTATTTCTAGATTTACAGTAAGAATTCTTTTCTGATTTCTGACTAAATGAAATACACAGAGTAAATTTGCTGATGTATTTTATGTTTTTAGAAGGAAAGGTTTTAAAACACCATTTTTTTTCTTCCCTCTGTTTAAATTCAAAACCTGAGTTTTGAATCTAGAATAGACTTTAATTATGGCACATCAGCGACACTGAACACATTTTTTTCTCTGCTTCTAAAGTTTACTACAGGATAATGTAGACTAGTTAAAATAAAAAAAAAATGATAAAGAAATGTAACCAGAATTTATAATAAAACTCATTAGAAAATCAAATAAAAATGATTTTCCATACAGACTACAATCTTGTTTGCTTTTAAAAGCTTCCAATCTTTTTGCGGAGACAAAAATCATTAAAACGTGCTTTCCTCGTGGTCAAAAGTCAAAATCGTTTTCTTTCCGTTTTGTTTGTATTTTTCTTTGACTACTTTTCCAATAGAGAAAAATAAAGTCTAATTTAGTTATTCTACTTAAGTTAAGTTGACAGCATCATAAGACAAATGCATATGGTAATTGTTTTTATACAGAAAGTAATCATTTAATATTTTGAGAAAGAAGTAGGCATCCCAGAAATTGGCAGTAGTAATTTTCATTATTTTTACATAGAGAAAAATAGAATATCATTGACAGGATCTTGCATCTAAAATAAAACGGTAGAAATGAATCTTCTTGATATACTTTCTTAATAACATTGTATTTTCTTTTATCTATAAATGTTTCTAATAATTTTATATAACAAAAATGTATTACAACAAGTGGGATTGCAAGGGATGTTTTTTTATGCCAAACATGTTCATAGGGCGTTGTTGCAACCACTATTGAAATAACGACCACTATTGAAATAATTATATCAATAGTGGTTGAGAGTGCATTTCAATAACAAGCATTGTTAGTAACCACTGTTGAAATATGACCACTATTGAAAAAATTATATCAATAGTGGTTGAGAGTGCATTTCAATAGCAAACATTGTTAGTAACCGCTATTGAAATACGACAGATATACATGCAGGCAATAAAAAGCATTTACATGCACGAGGGACAATTTCTAAAGGTTAATTTCAATTCCAATGCCTATAGCTCACAAATTATGTTAACAAATGACAAGTAATCTGCCTACTGGAGTACACATTTACCAATTCAAAATGCACCTGGGAAATCTCAAAATTTTGGCTTTTTTTTCTAAAACTTAGACTTTAGTTGCAATCATACAGCCCACTCCAAGACCCGAGCAAGCAGGATTAAACACCCAATATTCTGTAAATCAATGTATGCCCAAATTTAAATTCACCTATTAATATGGGTCAATTCACATGTCCTCTGAAATACACACTTATTTCTACGCCCTGCTGCTTTTCCTCTGCAACTGACCACGTGTCCTAGTTTTGCATTTACAACTCTGTATATATGATAAGCATAATACTGATACCTACAGATTGGACTTCATTTTTTTTTTCAGATGTTATTTTTTCTACTCTGCAATTGTGTCCCATATTTATTCTTATCATTTTCTACATAAAATATCACATCAAACGGTGGATATCTCAATTTTTAAAAATTTAACCGGTTCTTAAGTATGAAAATATCCTCTGCGATCTGAGTGACTTCTGCAGTATTTCATATATAAACACGTTACAGTACCTTGACAATTTTCCCCGACATAACCTTCGATGCAGTTACATTTGTAACCACGTGCTCTGGTCTTATCTGCCTCACAAGTTCAATTCTGACAATCATGTTGATCACATACTCGGACTATAAAAAAAAAATGGGGGGACATTAGAATATTAACACACAAATTAAGACAACACGTCTCCTACATGTACATCAAAAGTTCAACCCTGGACGGGGATATCCATATAATTGTGAATATCTTTCTGCTTTCTTTATTATGAATAAAGAAAGCATAAAGAAATTAACATTTATATTGATATATGTTACTATACTGCTAGGAGACGGATGTGTATTATATATATATATATACCGTAAATCTGGAAGATTTTACGTCGATTTATTTTTGAAAATCTTGTTCAAAAAGGTGTTGATTTATTTTGACGTTTCAAATTGTTGCGAATTGTCATTGGCGCTAAAAATAAAAAGCACTTTAAATTTTCATAACAGTTTATATGTTTCACATAAGTGAGCAGATTTAGAATACCATTAATAGATACCCTGCAATGTGGCCAAAAAATTCATACTCGCTCTGGAACAAATTTGAAAAATACAAAAGGAATTGCACTGAAAATAACTTTTGCTGGAGCACCAGGTTTCTTAAAACCGTTGTGCACTTTTTCGTGGTTTCTCTTAATGTATAATATGGCTGAATCAAGCCACTTTGCACTGAGTTCATCACCAGTTTTTAGTTTCGCTGCGACTTTTTAAGCATACCACGTTTCAAACTGTTCACCCATGTGGTCTTTAACAATCTTTTGAACACTCAAGTCCATTGGTTGCAGTTCTGAAGTACAGTTCGATGGGACGTACACATAAAAAAGACCCAGTTTTTTTCATTCGATCTCTAAATTCCTCGGAAAGCTGTGCTCTAAAAAAGTCTAAAATGATCAGAGCCTTTTGGCGCAAAGGCAAGTCTAGTTCATCCCTCACTTTGTTTACGTATGGTATGATGATCTTGTCAAGATAACGGAAACTAGTGTCTTTGTTCGCCCAATAATTATCTGTGTGAGTAACGTCCCAGTCTCTAGGAAAATTATATTTTGCATGACAAGCATATGTCTTCCATTTATAAATTACTTGCGGTGGCAGAATATCTGCGTTCAAAGCCCAGGCCATAACTCCTATAATTTTTATAATATGAAGTATTGAGTAAGATGCATTGCTTTAAATAAATTAAGCATATTAATTATGATTTAAGAATTGTCATTCGCAATTATATAATTATTCTTACCTGTGATCTCACGTTTGTCGTCCAAGCCAACGATGTTTATTTTGTCACACCCCTTCTCCGCCATTGTCCACCTTCTAATAGGTAATAGCTGTACACCCGTGTGATCAAAATGAATTACCAGCTGTGGGGAGATTTCATATTTTGCAACAAGCTCTTCGATTTTACTGAGAAAATTTGATTTGAGTTCCTCTAAGTTCTTGATTTCAGGTTTAGCCGTACTACTTCCAAGTCGTTTTACCATATTCATTCCTTTCAATAGCGAGAGTGCCCACTGTCGAGTTATTTCAATGCAACCCCCATTTTCTGCTAACAGCGTTCTGTCTTCGGCTAACACAACCCTTTTGATATGGCACGGATTATTCGACTGTTTATTGTACCATCTGCATCTATAATTTCTGTCACTAACTCCTTCACTTTCTTGTCAAGATCGTCCCCCAACATTAATGGCCGATCCCGTTTTTCCTTGGTAGTTCATCAATATCAAGATTTAATTTCCTGTTTCGAACAGAAGTGTAAATTTTTTTGAGATGTCGAACGGTAGATTCTTTTAAATTTAATTCTCCGAAATGTTTTAAAATTTTTGGAGTTCCTTATTCATTGGCATATTTCGCCACTTTGGCTCTCATTTCTTCATAAAGTATCGTATATGATCCTCTTTTTTGCTTCGTCGGGGTTTCTGTATAAAAGAGAGTGAGTTCCTCATTGTCAAGCTTCCGTGCTAGGGATTCCTTGTTTGGACTTTCAGATAAAATAACTGGCCTCTCTTTTTTGGTAAAATAATTTAAATTTAACAAACTGCCTCACTCAGACAGTGCCTATCTACCTGTCAAACCATCGGACGATATTGAATCTAGCGAGGGCAATTTACACGCACGTGCAATTTTTCTTGTACTGTATAAACAGGTTTCTGAAATTACCAGTGCTTACGAACACCTGTACACTGAGTTAAAAATAGATACCAGCTTTCCGACAGCAAAATTTGGGTTTACATTTTTTATTGTTGATTTATTTTTACGAAAAATATTTTTCGTAGTTAAACGCACGTCTCCACCAACTAGGAACGCAAATGAAAGACCAAGAACTTGCCGTTCGCGGGTTAGCACACCCAAAAGGACCGTCAGATTCTCCATCAGCACCTGTGCAATCGACTCGGAACTGCTTTACAAACTGCTAAATAAGCATAAAATGCAAAAATTGTTTGCAAAATACTGAGAGGAGCTGGTACTCGTAAATGACATCCGTACTTTGGAAATCCACTAGGGCGGAGAGGTAGGAAAGGACATAAGGATTGGTAAAGACGTATGCCTGTAGAATTTAGAGGCGACGACAATGATATCAACTTAACTTGTCAATTTGGAACATAAGACTTATTTGATGTTTATCACAACCCACACTAAAATCATTTTTAAAAATTAAGGTTTAAACTGAAAACAGATTTTCATGTTTAATCTGAATATGCGTTTCTTTTTTTGTTTAGTGTATTTGTCTTGATTTCTTTACCAAATCTGAAGAAAAGAAACTTATTTTATGAAAATAAATTGGCCGTTGAATGTCCATATCAACATGTGATATTAAACTTTTCTTTTATTGAGCAGAGTTTAAGAGATTGCTTTTTTAAACGTATCCTTCAAAGTGGTTGACCATGAATGCACATTTTACGCATATTAAAGTTATTAAATGTAAAGAGTTTGGTGTTGTTTGGGAAATTTTTCCTTCCGATTTCTTTACACATTTTATTTCAAGGTACATTTTATAATAACTTTTGAAATATTTTATGGTAGTTGTCAAATACTGACCTTTCAGGTGTATGATCAGAATCGTTATAAAAGCTGAAAAGCTCACTGCCAGCAATACTCCAAGCATGATCGAAATAATCATACCCTTTCTAATTCTAGTTTTATTCTCCACCGCTCCTATGATAGAAAATATCTTAAGATACACCTTTGTCATACACTAGTACATGTACATTCGTTGAGAATAATTAAAATTTGCTTCGTTTTTCAAAAAATCTTTCATGAAATATCATTCTTTTCAATTTAACAGTACTTTCTTACCTAATGTATGATTGTCATCTTCAGGACTAACAGAAGACATTGTTACAGACGTTAGATGAAGTGGATCTTGTTTATCTGATTTAAAATCTGATCAACTGTCCTTATATACTGTCTCTATAAATAAGTATACAGCATGTACATCAAACAGAACAAACAAAATATTTCTCTTTTTTGTAAAATAATTATTTTGTTTTGTTAAATAAAAAATCACCTTTGCTGCTACTTTTTTTTTAAAAAAAAATATGGAAAACAATATTAAAAGTACAGAAAGAGACTTGTTATGTAGTGTTGTTAAATGGTGTACTTTAAAGTTATATAATTGATGCCTTTTGATAAGATTATGACGTTGTAAAGGTGTTCAGGTATCTGGACGCTTCACATATCCGGACAAATGACTCGAAACCAAAGCGTCCGGATAAATGAGGCTCCACTGTATATAGAATCGGTATGGTTTTTAACAAAGTACTTATGTAGATGAGCAATACAAGATACAAAACAAAGTATTGAGAAATCAGTTTTTATGATATCAAAAGCCGTATATTTTATTTTTTTCGAAGAATGGCTGTAAAGATATTGAAAAAAATCATACATTCAGCTCTAACTGTCTATTGAAAGAAAATATAATGTTAGACATTCATAATTAAAAAAAAAATACGAAAGTTTTTCCCTTCACGGCAGGTTATAATCTAATTTTGTTAGTATTCTGGCCCCTGATTTGTTGATCAGCATAAAAGATCCCAAATAATTTTTGTATAAAGTGATTAAGTATAGACCATCCCCCAACCCCCCGCAAAAAACAACAATATTATCTGTATCCATTCAATCCTCAAACGTCATGTCATTCTTTTTTTAAAAACCTACCTTTAACTTCAGACAGTAACTCTATTTAATCACATGTAAAGAAACACCATGGCTGCTACGCCTTTGCTGCATTTATTACATGTACGTACACTCACTTCCTATCACTTCCGTTACTAAGGTTTTATTACTGAGTGGAAGTACAGTATGAAATAATGAAAAGCAACAGAATTTTACACCAATGGTTGTTTAAGGATTTTAAAATGAAAGTATAACGAATTTCCCTATTTTTAGGCTAAATTATTTGAGTATAACCAAACCAAATTATACTCGAATGATGTAGCCAAAAATAAAAGTCATAAAGCTTTTCTGTGAAAGGTGGGCGCTTAAAAGCTATAGAGGATGTACCTCAACCTTAATGCACGTTTTGTAATAATTTTTATATGTTTACAAATTCCGTACAAGTTCCGAAAAAATAATTTCACTATCGTTGACTGAAAAATCAAAAGTTATAATTACTGAAATGACATTTTGAAGTTTTTTTCTCCTTAAAAGGAATTTGGATTATATTCTTGCACGAACATAACTAACCCTTTAATTCATTCTGACAACATTTTACCTTCACAGTGCATCAATCTTCTTACATACGATGAAACATCAAGAGTACATACCGAAAAAATTGGAGATTTTGCACAATTTCTCATATTTCTAATAAATTCTTCAACTGTTATTAGTATTTTAATTCTTAGAAGAGTAGTTTATCAGAGAACGCGTAAAGTGTGCTCACAAACATGTTAATATACAGAATTGTAAAATTTATCACAGGATTTGGAGAAAACCGGGGAATTATGCTAGACTGTGTGGATAGGAATGTTGTACCTTCCATAACATGGATACTTTTTCCAAAGTTTTCCAGTGAACTTTTTTGGAAACTAAGGCATTCCCCCTAGATTTTTCAACTTTAGAAACAGCATATGATAAGTGATTGTGGT